GGAACATTTACTACATAGGAAATATGATGCACAACATAAGGTTGCAAAAGATCAAGAAAAATGATATATACCATCTTTTCCAATTAATACAGAGTGCAGGTTCTAATTCGCATTTAAAACTGTCAGAGACATGGGTCGTTAATCTCAAATAGTGTTTCTCAAAATGACAATAGACAACCCAAGATACTATTCAAAACAAAAGTTTGCTGATTTCCCCTGTTGTGCGTCACTAAGTCACTGAAAGTTAGAGAGAGAAGAAATTAAATTCACATGTATTAATTAGAACTAGATACCTGAATACCCTCTCCAGAGGAAAGTTTGCTCAATGCACCATTGGTACCTCTGTTGTCACCACGGTCAGGACATTCACTTTGAGAAGGCTTCTCAACTGATGAACTTACAGATACAGACGATTTATGATGTGTAGCACCCACATGAGAAGTAGCAACAGGCCTCTCGTATTGGGTAGTATTGGTCTCTGGATTCCAAAAATAGAGATATCCAGTCTTACCATCAACTAGGCCTTTCCAAGGTTTGGGAAGGGTGGGGTCCTCTGGTGCATAACGTGGACCAGTAGAAGATGCAGTTGCAGTAGCAGCCATCTCAAGCTTCAGTATCCAATTACCTCTGGCACCAGAAAAGACATGACGACTTAAAAGCATGAAATGAGAATCAGAGTTAAACAAAGCAATAATACTAGAAAAGAGGCTCCATGAATCACATTTTTTATGTGTTATATTCCATCACCTGAATAATTGACAGTGTTATATAAAATGGTATTAAGAATGTACTACAGTCAAAACAGCTAAATAAGGCTGCTCAAAAAAGAGAAGAAGATGAACTACACAAGGGAAGAGAACATGTTATTTCAAGAGTAGAAGATATGTTCTTAACAGAGACAAAGCAACACAAGCAACTGTGCCCCTTGCACAGTTATACTGATAAAAGGCAAAAGGCAGCACACAATTGTTTTGTATACCAATCCCCTTACCAACCAAAGAAACCCCACCCAGACAACCAAATGTGACCCTTTCCCACCTTGCTACCATGTTGACTCAATCCTCCAATAATACCGTTGGGTAAAGGGTCTGACCACTACGCTACCCCTCCCCCCTTGAAAACAAAACACTTGAGGTCAAATACATAAAACTAAATGAGTGGGTGACCAATACTGACCATTACACAACTCTCAGAGAACAGGAACACTAACTATCTATAGAAATAAATAAACATGACTGCCGTTTTCCCTTAAGCCTACAGGCCGGATGCACCTTATGGCAAGGGGTGTCATCCGACACCGATTCGTTTTCATTTAGTGTATATATAAAATCTGAAAAAACAGAATATGTGTACATATATTATTAAATGAAACCGCTTAACACACAGTACTCTATGGCTCCCTGGTTAAGCTCATAACTTATGTTGCATTTGCCCTGAGTTTGAACCTCCTTCTCAGTGAATTTGTGTGATTTTTTAAACTTTAAAGCGCTTAATTGCAAAAGGATCAAATAAGACCTATCAACCAAGCTCCGCTTTTGCATAAATGTTAAACATTAAATTTATTTAACCAATTTGGAACTTGATTAGTCAATATAGATTTAAAACCCTAATGTTAAGAAATTATTCATTATTTCATCTAATCCGCTCTCTTCTTTAAGTGTCAACATCACTTGCGAAAATCTTGCATACACCACTGACTACAATAACACGAAGGTGAGCTCCTCTCAACCAAAACATGCACACAAGCATTATAATTCACGCAAGTGGCACTAGTTCAAAGGCTTTTGAACTGTTGGAACACAAAGCAATAACAAAACAAAGTCACGAAAACCTAAAACAAACAATAAAAAAATGATCTACAACCCTGCATTATCATTCACTAACACGTAGCACGGGTCAAAACGCCAAACCTAGTAAGTTCAACTTCAAAACAACCAGAGCATCGAGGCCAAGCAATGAAATAAACCGATCAAAAACCCTACATTATCATGTACTAACACGTAAATGGGGTCAAATGCCAAACCTAGCAAGTTCAACTTCAAAAGGACTACAACATCGAGGCCAAACAATAAAAAAAAATCATCTAAAACTCTACATCATTATTTACTGACACATAGCAGGGATCAAATGCCAGATCTATCAAGTTCAACTTCAAAAGGGCGATAACATCAAGGCTAAATAAATTTTTTTTAAAAACAATCTAAAACCCTACATTATCTCTTATTAACACACAGCAGGGGTCATATGCCAAACCCAGCGAGTTCAGCTTCAAAAGGACGACAATTTCGAGGTCAAACAATGAAAAAAAAAAGATCTAAAACCCAACATTGTTATTTATTAAACACAGCAGGAGTCAAATGCCAAACCTATCAAGTTCAACTTCAAAAGGACGACAACATCGAGGCAAAACAATTTTAAAAAACTAAAACCCTACATTTTTTATTTATTAACACACAGCAGAGGTCAAATGCCAAACAATAAAAAAAACATTCTAAAACCCTACATTCTCGTTTACTAGCACATAGCAGGTGTCAAATGCCAAACCTAGCAAGTTCAACTTCAAAAGGATGACAATTTCGGGGCCAAACAATTTTGTTAAAAAAAACCCATCTAAAACCCTACATTTTTATTTATTAACACACAGCAGAGGTCAAATGCCAAACAATAAAAAAAACATTCTAAAACCCTACATTCTCGTTTACTAGCACATAGCAGGTGTCAAATGCCAAACCTAGCAAGTTCAACTTCAAAAGGATGACAATTTCGGGGCCAAACAATTTTGTTAAAAAAAACCCATCTAAAACCCTACATTTTTATTTATCACACACAGCAGGGTTCAAATGCCAAACAAGTTCAACTTCGAGGCCAAACCTATCAAGTTCAACTTCAAAAGGACAAGAACATCGAGGCCAAACAATCAAAAAAAATAAAAAATCTAAAACCCTACATTTTTATTTATTAACACATAGCAGGGGTCAAATGCCAAACAAGTTCAACTCAAGGCCAAACCTATCAAGTTCAGCTTCAAAAGAACGACAACATCGAGGCCAAACAATCAGAAGAAAAAACATCTAAAACCCTACATTCTCGTTTACCAACACATATCAGGGGTCAAATGCCAAACCTAGCAAGTTCAACTCAGATCTGAATCATCGCAAGTATAAATGAGATATGCTACCTGACAACGTCTTTCCGATGACGATGAAGAAGCTGATACAAACGATTCCCACCTCCGACGATCACTCCCGTCCGTTCTCTCACTCTCTCTGCTAAATAAATTAGTATCCAAAGGTATGAGTGAAGCAGCGGAGAAGCAGAGAGAAACCTACGCTTCCGATGGTTTGAGTGAGACTGAGAAGCGTAGGGGGCTATAAAAAGAAATAGAATTAGCTGACAGATGGATATATTATACTTCTAAGAGAGCAGAGAAATGAGAAACGGTACGAGAATAGTGCGTATTAAACCCGCAATAATATTTTAACCATGGTTAGGTTAGTAAAATGCCAATTACACCCACAATAATATTTCGACACGGATTAAAACACTCCCCCCATTGGCAGTATTAGTATGATACTACTGTTTTTTTGAACGACAAAAATAATATTATATACTTACAAATTTCTTTATTTTATATTAAGTAAATTGTTGAGAAAAATATTTCAGGACAAAATTTAAAGTCTATTGTTAATTATCATCCATATTTATCTCATTAAATGAAGGGTAGATACGGAAAAAAATTCAAACAATTGTCTAAAACTTCGAATAATTCAATTATTTTGAACTATGAAAAAAAAATCAATAATTCACTTGAGTATGAGCTAACATATTATGTATTCCGTTTGTCTCATATTACTTGGCTTATGTTGACCTCACATGAAATCTCTTTAAAAAATTTAAAATATATTTTACTAAACTAATCTTATTAATAATGCTTTGAAACTTTAAACTTGACTACTAGAGTATTACTTTATGTAGTTATTTCATACTAAGGATAGTGTAGAAAAAAATTCTCTTAATTTACTAAAATAGATAAGTAAAATAAAATATCTACGATATGGATCAAGTAAAATGAAACGGGTGAATTACTTATTTTTCATCAAAACTCCTTTACAAAAGATAGTAGTAGTTTCATCACAATATGTAATACTAGCTCAAGAAGGTGGGTGTTGGTATAGAAAAGCGTTTAGTTTTGTTTGGCCTGATTTGCCTAATAGCTCTTGTTATCGAAAGGTGAGCCAATTTGTTTTCTTGTTTGAAGTTATGCCTGACTTGTACCATACGCATTAAACCATTAGCAAGCAAGAATTAACGTGTGGGAAGTTTCATTTTCATTTTGTAATGAGTTAATAACGTCCATACAGTCTATCTTTACCATTTTCAGTCCTTCTGCAGGGCTTGGATTCCCGCTAGAGTAGAAAATTTGCATATATGTTGTCATAATTATAAAAGATTACCATGATTGTCTATGAAAACATCTCTTATTCCTTCAGTATTTTAATCTTTCCAAAAAACACCATCAATGTTAAGTATGTAGTTTGTACCATTTATTAGGAAATTATTCCATTTAATAATAATAGATCTTTTAGGGTTGTAGATCTTCTCATTTGCAATCAAAGAAATTTATTTTGTTTGGACAATTAAGCTTCCATATACTAAGAAGATGGCGTAGCTTTGATTAACATAATTTTAATTTTATTTGTGCAATATATTAGTTTATTAAGAAAATATAAATAATTATTGAACTGCCAGATTAACATAAAGAAAAAATAGAACTGGATATATTGAATGATTATTTGTACATTAATATAATTAAATGGTGTGAGAACATTTATGTTAATATATTTAAGTTACATATGACCAGATGATGACTTTAGTTGGAATGTAGAATCAATTACGTTAAATTTACATGACCAAACTCCAAAGTATTAACGCGAATGAGAGTAATAGCTTCAACCAAATGCAGTGAGATTGCAAACTAAGCTGAGTATACAAAAATAAAATTCTCGATAACGAATAAGGTAAATTCTATTATACATTACTATTTACAAATAATTCAGTAGAGTACAGAGGGGGGAATCAGCTGATTACATAATTGACTAAAAGTGATATATAATGGATTAATGGAGATGTCAAAAGGTTTTCCTAATTCTCTGGACAGTGATAATAAATAGGATCAAGTTTACAAAAGATAAACAAATTCTTACAGACTAGAACCCAAGTAAGGGACATTGCTTTTTAGCATGTTCTGGTAACAGTTTGTTTAAGAGTTCTGAAGACGCTCCTTTCAGCTCTGCAAATGATATTATCTCATAATAAGAAAAACAACTACTCCATATGAATATGAGGGGGTGGGGGAGTCAATTCATAAAACTGGAGGAGAAGATTATAATAAAACCTTGAGGCCTGAAGTTGAAGAGAGGTGGCAATGGACGACCATTAGGAAGACCAGCATTAGGGTCACGGAGCTCATCAAAGAAAGCGTGAGCAAGAGCTTCCAACTGCAAAATGAATCAAATAGATCACATAAAAGCATAATATACTAAAGTTTCCCCACACAAATGTTTGCTGCCTAAAATATGATATGGAATTATTATTTTTTGAGATAAAAATATGATATGGAATTTTCAACAAGTACTACTTCTTTTGCTCTCACCACTGTGTTTGAACTGGACGATAAGGGAAAAAAATAGGGAGAGAACTTGACACACTCACCGCGGTGCATCTCAAATTTGGAGAATACTGGAGAAGCCTTATCACAAGATCTACAGCTTCAGGAGGCATCCGTTTGTGAAAAATCTGTACAATGCAGGGTTGCGGCCATGAGTTTCTTGATGTGAATACATGCCATGCAATGCATCAGAAAATGTATCTTCTATAGAGGAACATAGCTCAAGATTCTTACCTTGTGCCAGGGGTGAGCTTTGATTTGCGGGAACTTGAACTCAGTGTAATTTGGATTCATACACTTGATTTCTTCACGCGTTGGTGTTCCAAGAACCTAAAGAGGACATTTTGATTTATTGAATTGTGCAAACCAAAGATCACCAATTTGAATCATCATTGAATCAACTAGATGGATACCTTGATTATTTCGACGAGCTGATCTACACCACTCTCACCAGGAAAGAGGGGCTACAAGTTTTGGAAGAGAAAAGATTAGCGTGAAACAATCAATTATTACAGTTTTTTTTTTTTCTCAATAAAGGAATTGAACTCCACAAGAAATACAACCTGACCAAGAAGCAGTTCAGCTAGGACACAACCCACAGACCAAATGTCAATTGCATTGGTGTACTCAGTTGCTCCAAATATTAGTTCTGGCGCACGATAATAACGTGAACAGATATATGAAATGTTTGGCTCGCCTTTGACCTGTTAGTATGGCCAAAATATGAGGATGAACTATGTAAATAAGATCACTAGATAAGACTAAGACAGTCTTTCCACCCACAAATCACACATGGAAGATGAATAAAGTCAAGAAAAGGAACCAAAGTATTTTCATATTGTTGAGCTATGAAAGGTACTTCTTCATCAGGTCTTTTGATTTGATAAATCCCAACAAGAAAAATATCTAATTCATAAGAACATCTTTAGCCACATAAAACTAAAAAGAAGAGATCATATAATATGCTGGAACACTTCCATTTCTTAAATTCTGAGGATGGACACAATAAGATATCATACAACTTCATCTAATTCTTGTACTAACATATTATAAATGTGACATACTTATGATAATACATGTTTCCTGAATTATCAAACAAAATATAACGCAACTGTCTTTAGCATCCAGTTAAACTCATTTTAAGAATATTTGTAGTGTTTCACATGCGTAGAAAAATGAATAAATAGAATATTTGTTTCCAATTTTCCAAACAAGTCACAATCAAACGATCATGTCTATTCCTAAACATTGTAGCGGCAAGAAGCAGAAAGAGAAAGTTGAACTTAGGTTTCAGACTTGAGAAGTAATAACAGGACTTTTGCAAGCTATCAAAAAAATTACCAGGACTTTTGCACTCCCAAAATCACAAAGCTTAAGCTGATGTGTGTGGGGGTTGACCTGCCATAGCAAATTGCATTGGTCAATATCACAATGTTTTTAGTTGATTGAGTTTAAGCTTCAAGTACAAACCAGTAAATTCTGAGGTTTGATGTCCCTGTGGCAGACTCCTATCCCATGTATGTAAGCCAAAGCTCTAAATATCTGTACAGGTACATCATCAATCAAATATACCGCAACAAAGATATGCTAAGGTGGGTGGTATACAGAAGAGGTTTTGCTACTAGCCATAAACAGTAACAACAGTTACTACATCATAATCGCTACAAACAAATGATGCAATGTTTACTCAGGGCCAGATAAGCGCAACAGCACTAACTATAATCATCTTTAACAGTTATTACTACAACAGAGAACTTATTATTTTAAGATATTACAACTATGGAAGAACCTTTACCACTGCACATGAGGTCAACGGTTTAGGCCACAACCTAAATTTAGGGTTGCCTGTAAGACAAAAGGATTGCAAAGGGAAGTAGGCAACATCAAAAAAACAATTAATATCACATTAAACCGGTATATGGAAAAATGATATAGTCAAACTTCCTCCATATGTGGTTTAGCCGAAACTAAATGAATCTTCCTTTCATTTAAAAATAAATAAAGATACATCTCCAATCTGATAACTGAGAACAAGTCATTAATTTTGAAGATTATTTTACTGAAATACCTTTCTCATTTATTTCTTATCCATTTTGACAATGAGATAAATACTACAATGTTTCTGAAAATAGAAAAGAACACTAATTGGATAGAGTTATTGGCTCCCTGGTCGAAGATAACCTACTATATTATTTCTCGTTATTTATGCATGAAGGATTTGGTGCCTTATAACTTGAAAATTTGTACTAGGGTTGACATCGAAGAGGCTGGCATTGACATAATATTTTGACACAGGATACAACATTTACAATTTTTACATACACCGTAACAATTAGACGACAATGAAGGGGATTAAAGGCAAAGGAGGTTTCCATGACAACTTGTGGCACACTCGAGCAGAAGTCACAATCATCTTAAGCTATAGGGCCAGGTCCATTCAGTTTTGTTAAATTATAGGAAACATCCATGCAATCCTCCTATGCTCATTTGTTTCTATGTACAATGAGAGGAACTTGCACATGTACTCAAATGGAATACCTGATATGTGTACAGTTTGACATATATCATAGGCATCCGTTGGTTTGCTTTGCTGTAATGTCTTAACACACGGTAGACAGTTTCAGGTACAAATTCGAGAACCAAATTTAGATAGAGCTCATCCTTTTCTGTGGTCGAAAAGAAGCAGTGTTTCAGTGAAACAATACTAGGATGATCAAGAAGTCGCATAGTCTGCAATTCTCGATTCTTGTATCTCTTGTCCTGCAAGACCTTTTTTATTGCCACAGTTTCTCCGGTTTCAAGGCATTTGGCCTGCAATTTAGCTTTGAAATCAGTGACAATTGATTTAGTGATGGGGGTAAGCATTCTTGATTATGACAGTGACCATCTGTGACATATTAACAACTTATACCTGGAACACAATTCCAAAGGACCCCTGTCCAACAACTCGCTCCGCCATGTAACTTATGGTCTGAATGTCAAAGAAAACATTAGCAAAAAAGCTTTTAACACAAAGACCCACAATCAACACGTAAATTTAGAAGAACTTGCTCAGTTGAGATTTACTTAATTGTGGGGTGAAGTATGGATGGGTTATTCACTCAAACAATGCCAGTCTCGAAGACATGATAAAGAAGAACATTTCAATTATCAACCCAAGCTAGAAATACTACATTATGTTGTGTAGGACCATGTAACCTCGCCTAATTAGCAGTCATCCCTAACTATTATAAGCTACATCCTAAATAAGACCGATACCAAAGTGTTCGCCGACTCTTTAAAGATATTATCAAGTTAAAGTCAAGCAAAGTATTCCCTGTCATTAGACGCCCATCGTAGGTCCAATTTCTGACCTTTACAGGGAACAATATTTTGTAATTTCTAAAATTCAGGAAAGTTTAGAATATAGGTTTGGGAAATGAATAGTTTTTCAGGGAAATAAGACCTTTTGTATATCTGGAAAGCACCAAGTCAATATGGTATGAGAAGATTAACTAACTTCATGTCATTAAAACTTTCCTGAAAATATGGAGTTGATATATAATGCTCGCTACCTTTTTGGAGAGGACAAAGAAAAGAGATTGTTAGATTACAGCGAGAAGCTTGATTTTATGTCTCACATAACAAACATAAGTCATGTGAGACGCCTTAATTGCTTGACAAGTAGACTTGTGGTTACATTTGTTTAATTAAAGATTGAAACAGAAAAAGCAATGCAAAACTTTCCAAATTAAGCACTGGAACAAAGCAAAATTTATTGAAGTTATTCTGAGTTATGATACAGCAGATTTATTTGATACAAGGCTTTTCACAGTACTATAGTCCTATTTATTTAAAGTTACCAATTTCAAAAAAAAAAATAGTCCTATTTATTTAATGAATTTATTAGAAAGAAAAAAAAGCATACAAATTGAATTTTGGATAATCCCAAGCCTAATCAGAGAAAAGGGAAACAAAATTATGCAATGGAAAATATACAAGCATAAGTAGAAAAGCCATGTAAGTTCATACAAAGCACCATCAACCATAAGCATCTTTTAGTAAGGTTGAACAGTAATACAACTCCATCTCAGCCATGAAAAAGAGAAAAGCATGTGTTATTCAGTATTCACGCCTAGGGGTATGCATATCATTGATTTTTTGGGTCCTAGTAGAGTGCCTTACTTTGGAAACTTTTAAATTACCTTTATTGATTCTTTCTTCAACTAAAGAAATGGTAAAACAAGTCACTTGTTAAGCAATTAAAGTTCCTCACAGAACATATGGAAGTGATGTGAAACACAAAATAAAATTTCTCGATTACCAGTACCTGGCAAGTCAAAAGAAATTGAAGAAAAAGAGGTAACTACAAAGATGTCCCGAACCATTTTAGCCAAAAGTTACTTTTAGTTTAGTAAGATAGCTAACATCTCTATCAGACAGTAGGAATGTACGATTGTTTCTTGACTTATTATTATTTTTGGTTTCAAAAATTAAAAAGGATAAAAAAAATTAAAAGAGCCAAAATACTTGGTATTCTTGTACAAAACATATACCTAAATTAATAAAGGAGGATAAAGCAATGCCATGAGGTAAAATCTGAGAACAGATCTTTCTTTCAATTGTCTATGTTACATCACAAGTGAAAGAAAGATAATACGAAATTCAGGGTAATCTGACTTTCTGATATCCAAAGCCAAAACAAAACTGATTGAGAAAAGATTTACTCATCAGATCCATAGATCAATTACCAGCCCTAGTATAGATTGAGTTTTATTTACTGATTTCAGAACCAAAACGAAACTAAAGCAAAGGGATTTATTCATGAAATCCACGAGATCAATGCCATTAATCTCACAACATGAAAATTCTTATCCTTTGGATATGTTAGTACTTTGGTACAGACACAACGATAAAAATAAGTTACAAGTGTAAAATAACATTTTCGAGGTTGAATCAAATGATTAAAGACGTCACCTGCTTTGGCTGACCATTTTTCCCCCCAATAGTTGTCACAATGATGTGACCTGTTTCAGTTCCATTTCCATCCACAACAGTTGCTTCCATTTCCTATCAGGCTATCACAGTGAGACTTGCAAAGATAACTAAGTATAGACAAGGGAAAAAAGAAATCATATAAAGAGTATGTATCCTATTTCCAAGAACAACCTTTCCTTCTTTGTCATCATTGATCTTCATTTCATTTATTTCTTTAGGTAGGTTGTCAATAAGCATAGCATCAGTAATAGGTTTGCCAGCTGCTGAAGACATAATACTGCCAGAAGCCATATCACTGAATTACAAACAATCTTCCTTATAGTACTGATAAATGGTTACGACTTAAATGACAGATTATCAGCTTCTCAAAACCTGAATCATAAAGATACATAAATTAGACAGGACGCCAGTGATGCCGTACTAACATTCAGTGTTGTATCAGAGTAGATCACAGAATCCAGAAATTGCACTATGTAGACATTCATATAACAATGACCTTTATTGACCCAAGCAGAACCCCATTCACTTTAATGACCTAAAAATTATGTTCATCCTGAAACGCGGTCTCTTAGTTCATATATTGATTAAGTACTCAAATTAGTCAAGTGAGTCTCTAGAAGAGACCAAAATTAGCTTTCTAACTGTCTACCATTGTTCAAAGAACTCCTAGACGCCTAAAAAAACTTCTATAGCAGCCTCCGAAATTTTCTAATTGGAAGAAAACATAGCTTTCGACAAAACTGCAGCCATCTTTTTAACATTAAGAACCTTCACAGGAAGCATGAGATCAATTATTCACTTGTTGACGCAAACATATTTATGATTATTGCATCAACCGAAAGAGTACCTGCAACGGTGAAGTGAATTGCTCGCATGGGCGACGGAAAATTGTGGGTGAAACAGCAAAACCCTAAGCGCGAAAGAAATAAAGTGGAAGTGAAAATGGCGTATGGCCAAGTTTTCAGGTTATAGACTTCTGCGATACTGCTCTTCTTTCCTTTTTCTCACTTTGGATGCTCTCTGAATTTTGATGGAGTTGGCGGACCCAAGCTAATTTTATCCATTTTCGTTGATTGGAGTTTTGGGGCGTCCGAGATTTCCACGTGTAAGCTTTTGGTTGGTATTTGGTAGGCTTACGTCATTATGTTGACTGATACAGTGTTAATTCTGTTCCTAGCGAAGAATCTGTGTGCTCTATAACTCCACGGAAGCGGATGTAGGAGCTTTTTTTTTACTTCAAAAAAGGAAGGTGTGAATAATTTTACTGATCAAAATTTAATGGCCATTTCACCATGTTTCATCTAAAATTTCAAAAAAATAGTTTTTATTTTTAAAGTGAAAAATGATATTTGAATATTGTAGTTTATTTGGACATAAACATAAATTGAAGTTATTTTTTATTTTTGTGAATAATCTGAAGTAAAAATGCCTTTTTAAGTTATTTTTAAAATTCATCAAAAAATTTAAATTTAACTTGAATTTATTTTAACATTCTCATTAGTTTAATAAAACATCTCAAAGAATTGAAGACAATCTTACAAAGTCAATATTAAAACATGGTTAATTCAAATTGAAGTGAATTAGACAAATTAAAAAAATAGAAATAACTATAAGTTTAATTCTCTGCTATGGTTAATTATAATTACATCAATAATAAAATTTCAAAAATATGTGGATAATAATGAGTAAGAGATTAGCGACAAATTATTAAGAAAAAAATAATTAATAATAACAATAAATACATAATTTTTGTATATTTACTTTGGGTATTTTGTTACTATTGTTATTTGTTAATAGTAATATTTTACATCTTCAATCGTTGCCTCTTGGTCGAACATATCTCTTTTTTGTGCATCTTGGGTATGTTTTCGTATTTGAGCAAACTGAATTTGGGGGGATTTTGGTTCTTTGGCGGCCCTTATTTTTTGGGGCCTAAAGTCACTGCTATAGTGTCTTTAATGGCTGAGCCGCCCTTGCTCATAATCTCTCTATAAACTGGGCTTATGCGTAGCATGTAATCAATTTGTTCAAGTTTCTAGTGTTAAAAACCCCATCATGATTGATCAATTATATTTTGATGGGAAAACTGCCATCACAAAACACCAGCAGTGGCTGTGTAGGGATAATTTATTCATTCCTAAAAGGAACATATACATTACAAGCTGTTCATTTAGCCTGTAGGTCATTTCCTGCCTTTCAGAGGTATAACAATTACCAGAAAAAGAGAGTTCAAAAACCATTCTGCTGGGGAACTTTTGGAGAACTTCTCTTGAATTGTTTTTCTCCACACTGAACTACAACAACCGAAGTGTTCAAACAACAAACTCTCTCAAGGAAAAATAAATAAAAAGAGAGGTCAACAAGGCCACTTCTTGATTTTCAATATTTGATCAAATGTACTTACAGAGTTCTTTTTCCATACAAATTTGTGATAAATAAAAAGAGAGGTCAACAAGGCCACTTCTTGATTTTCAAGATTTGATCAAATGTACTTACACTTCTTTTTCCATACAAATTTCTGTGGTAACCCTATCATTCCTGAACAGAGCAGTATCAGTAGAAGGATAAACCTCAGAGGCCACACTTTTGGCAGGTTTCATAAAGCACAAGTGTCTAAATTAATGGCATACCAAAGTTCAGCAAAAGCTGGCAATCCCATTTTGTGCTTCATCATACAAATACTGTGCATACATCAAGTAGCAAGTGTAAAGCACATGCAGTAAAACAATAAGAAAATGAAATAAAGGTAAGGCATCAAAAACCTGAGAAGATCTCATAGATTTCAGTAAATTCATGATTTGCCAAATCCAACAGCAGCCTTCTTTGTTTTTCTTGTATTTATGCTTTCAGGGGTTGGCAACCCAGTCCTCTCTTCATATTTCTTTTCTAGCGCCTGTAAAATCAGTTACAAAGACAAGCATTGGTTCCTAGGTGCAACACCTGTCAGATGTTTATCCCAACTTTAACAATCATCCACTAACCACTAATGTTTCACGGATGGTGTCCAGGACTTCGTCAGTCATTTTGTCAAAGAAAAGAACTCCCTGCATATTGCTGACTTAGTTAAAAAGAAATGTCTTACGGGAACTAAGTCTTGTATTTAAAGCAAATTGTGCATTCATGTACTTTCTGATGAATATTCATAAAGACTGCATACACACTATTCAGTACTACAGATATCTGAACTCAACCAGTAGCACTGTTAAGTAGTCTTATAAAAAGAATCAGACCAGGGAAGACTTCTGAACTCGAGTCTATCTGGTTCTTACTTTTTTTTATTACACTGCTCAATGTCCAGTTACTGCAACTGGAAAGACATATAGAACATTTTGTCTGAACAAAAGGTAAATGCAAAAAAAAAAAAAAAAAAGTAAATGCAAAGGGAAAATGTATGAGCAGGAGAGCCTGCGAATCCCAAACAACAGTAATTTTTGGGAAGGTACGGTTAAAACAGATCCTGCATTTATAGAAATTAAAAAGCACCTGTAGGTGATCAAATTCATGTTGGAAAACTCGTGCTGGAAGAGCAGACAAGCTTATCTCAAACCTTGCACCATTAATGTCCTGTGCGCCAACCTTAACTGAGTCTGGTCTCTGCAAACACACACCATATATAAATAAGCTAGTAACAATTTAGAAAGTCAGAAAACTTCACAATTCAAATAGCAGATTCAGGTTCCTAGACACTAAAGCAGTTAGCCAACAAAGATTCACCAGGTAAGCTTTTGTAAAATGCAAACTGTTTTAGGATTGCAGTTCTACTTCAAATTCTTTTGACTTCGTTTGGAAAAGTCGCACAAAATCCAAGCAGCTCTATTATGTAAGCTCTTTACCAGGTTAATGAGCCAGAAGAAGAATTATGATGTATAAGATAGAAGTTACTAGTTGAATAGGGACACACTTGCAAACTAGAGGATTAGGATGTCTTCTGGCATTAAGTCCTTGAGATGCTGTCTCTTACATTCCTAAAGCACAACAACAAAATTGACCATTCGTAAAAATTTGGATACATGTAAAACTGCTGATATGACATCTGTATTTCCACCAAAGCAATAGAAGCTGCAGGTTCCTGTAAAAGTTAGACTAGCTCACTGGAGCAACTTTTCCAGGAGCAGGAGACAGCAAGTTAAATTCTTCAGAATGGTATAGCTACCAATTCAACAACATAAATGCTAGGAAAAACCCTCATGAGGTTGCAGATGTGGCAACCTTACCATCCTTTCAGATATATTCACGACTAACCTCATGATGTCATGAGTTGGTACATGGTATCATGCGTCAACCGCAAGCAAGTTAGGTTCGGCTATATAAATTGTCATTGGGTATGTCACTCCATTGAGGCTCATCTTACACCAATATTATACAAGATAGAAAATAAAACGTACTAGGAGCTCTCTACGATTTCTAAAAATTCATTTAAGATACATATACATTCAACACACAAACATTATTTTTTAAATAAGAAAAGTATCAACTGCATAGCAGATTATTGAGAGATTTGAACAGATGACGTCAATCATATTTGATCCCACTCGACCACGGGGTTCATATTATCTTTCTCACAGACACAGAGTAAGGCAGTAGACTGACTCGAGGTCAAACAAATAATGGTTTATAGGTCCAAGTACCTCAACATCACCATGTATCATTGGAAAAGATAAGCAACCTTCTTCATAAGGTATAATCCTCCTAGAATATCTACTGACACGTGGATTGACGAGAACAATCTCCTCCCCCTCTCCTCGTTCACCAGCTGCATTAAATACCATAAGTTGAACATTCATTCCAACTTGTGGTGCAGACAGCCCAATGCCATCAGTTCTGCATAATATCAAAGCCAAGCATCCTTTACAGTCCTCTGAATACCAAGCCTTTCTTATAAACAAAAAAAAATTATGTATCTACCAACTAAATCATCAACAATCCAGCTTCTTAATTCAATAAATCAGTCAATTACACCTCAATTCCAAACTAGCGAATTCTGCTATGCTAAATCTGTGTCACCCATACTATTTTTGTTTTGTTTTCAACATAATTAGACCTCCACCAAGCATAACCTCTTCCTATATCCAGGTTTGGGATCAGTCATGCTTTGCGAAGCTCGCATAGATTGAGTTATCCAGTTTACTGATCGAACAACTATTTTTTGCATTAAAATAAGTTATCTAAACTCAAAAGGATATAGTTATGGATTGTAAGAAACGGATGGACTCACTTGTACATAATATCGAACATTTCATCAACTAACTTCTTCAAATTAGCGTCAAATTTGCCAATCCTCTTATTCTTCGCTCTTAGAATCGGGTCTGGATACTCTACAATTTTCAATGGCACCTCGAAGCTCAAATCAGCAGCTACCACACACAAAAAAAAGAATTTCAATTTGCGAAAATTTTTTTTTACTACAAATAGATTGATTTTTAGGTCAGAATCTAGAAGGATGCTTACGAGTAGCTATTTCATCTCCTTTGGTTTTGGAAGATAAAACTCGCCTAGCTTGAGCGTAAACAGCCAATTTTGGAGGTTTATTACTGCTTGCGGAGAAAAATAAACAGTTAGCTGATTTATATCGATGAAGAGTGAAGTTGATAGGGGAGAGAGACGAGTTCCAACTGAGGAGAGGCCGGAGAGAGCGAGCGAACGAAGAAGAAGATGCCCAAATTGCGGCAGCCATTGCCATTTGCTTCACAACAAAACGGGCAATTTCACCTCTAAAGATGCAAATATTACTCCTTTTGTCCTTCGTGTTTTGTTACACTCGAGTTTTAGACCCTTTTTTTCTATATATTCAACATGATTCTCTTCTTCTTCTTTTTTAAATCTAATCTAAAATATATATTATATATTAATATTAAAAAGTAATCATATATGACATGAGAATTGCAACTCAAAAAACGGCTAAAATACTGACTATAAAAAAAAATTGAAATAAAGAGACCCCCTCCAAATAGGACATTACAGCTACAAGATATTATTGATTCTTCGATTCTAATGATTATTTATAAAGTTTATTTAAATATTAAATTATAGTTTGTTATTGAT